GATACTATTAATATTTCGATTATGTATTTAAGTATATAAATTTAAATTTGTAAAAAAATAAATAAACACACTCTGGCTTCTATGATGGAAAAAAATATCTTTGTTGAAGCTTTATAAATTAATGGAACAAAGTGAACAGAATCAATTCAAATTAATAGTATTTATTTGTTGCTCATTTGTTGTTAAAAAGTTGTCAAAGAAAAAAATTGCTCTGTCTTTTCTTAAAAAAATGAGGTTTTGCTAAATGAAGATTAAGGTAGTGGAACATACATAACAACATACAATGTTATGTTCAATAGAAAAAGCAGCTTTACAATTATTAAAATTTTTTAATATGATTGGTTTTACTTTTAGTTCCTTATTGAATCTAATGATGAATTCAATTGGAAGCATTAGTATGCATATTAAACTCGTACATTGATTTCATTTGAGTATAAAAATAACATACAAATATTTCAAATTATAAAATATATTTTACCTAATAATACCTAATAATTTTATCTAATAATAAAATGGATTGAGTATTTCACGATTTTATCAATTTCTATGTTTATTTATAAACATATCTTTACATCACTTTGTGTATGATGGCTTTAATGTGTGCACCCGTGCTCACTGAATATGTCTAAATGAATTCGCTACAAATGTATAAATCAATCATATTCAAGAATTTTATAACAGTTGTAAAGCTGCTTTTTTTTTGCTGAATGCAACTATTGATTTTACTTAAAAATAACAAGAATTTGTGCCAGATAGCAATGTGTCTGTTTTGTTGCTTGCTAAGTATGCATTGTTAAGTATATGTTGCTACTAGAATTGTAGTAACTGAGTCTTCATTTATTAGCAACTTGATGCCTTCACAATATGATAATATTGAGTAGCAACTTGTCAGCAATTTGCCAATAACCTTAAAATTGCCATCATCAAAATTCGTACTATTGTCATAATATGTAGCATTATACAATGCTGTCATATTATTAACAATGCAAGATAACATTGAAGTTATCTTGCTGTTAAACTGTTGGCAATACATATACACATTGTTGTTTGCATGTCGGTATATTCGAAATCGTTGAAGACAAATCTACGGCAAGTTGTCATAAGCAATCACAGATTTGCGCGATTTTGCTGAGACGCTTTGCTTTCTGGAAATATATTGTTGAAATATCCAAATTTCGAATTTATTACTTGCAAAATAAATGTAAATAATAAATAAGTAAATAATAATGATAAATCTCAGTTAATTAATAATTATAAAAATAAACTATAATAACAAAATTTTAAGTTTAAATAACAAAATTAGCTTGCATATATTATATTTGATACGGAGACATTGGATAGGGGAGATCAAGAATAATTGATAGTTTTTTTAAGGAATTTTTTGCATGTAATCAATAAATAGAATATAAACCGTAAGGTCATTTTACAATAGCCATATGCTTGCACACAAAAATTATTTTTATAATTTAATAATATGATTAGGGGAAACCGCGAGGATAGTTGGTTACTATCTGTTTCTTATTGCTGCACTCTCTGAACTAGTGCACACGGTACAATTTTCTAATTTAAGTGTATAAAATCATGCACCTTGTAACCCTATATGCGAAATCGGATGTTACAGTTACTGGAATCACTTGTTACATATCCAGATTTCAAAATTATATTAAAATTTCCAATAACAATAAAGGATTCTTGATATTAATAAAAAATAAATATAACAATAGGGTATATAAGAGTCAATAACAAATTAAATTATATATTAAAAAATGAAATATTACAAAATAATATACTGTATTCTAAACAATTATAACTAAAATACGCTATTACATGGTTCGGTCTTTGAATTAGACCCTCTTCACATATTTACTTAATATAAAGATATTACCATGAGCTAATAAAAATGTGTTGATTGTGAAAAAATATATCATCATGATTTTAATAATCTAACAGCTTGATAACCATAATGTTCTTGTACAAATTTTCTTATTTCAAATTTATATAAGAATATTATGGTTATCAAGCTGTTAGATTATTAAAATGATAATGTATTTTTTTCACAATCAACATTATTAGATCATGGTAATATCTTTATATTAAGTAAATATCTGAAGAAGGTCTAATTCAAAAACCGAACCATGTAATAGCATATTTTAATTATAATTTAGAATACAATATATTATTTTGTAATATTTCGTTTTTTAATAT